ACAGATGGAACCCCATGCAGTAAAACAGAAGCACAGTGAGCCGTTCTGGGCTTTTCTGGCCTGCATTCAGCATCTTTATGGGTGAGGACACGAATCAAGCTGTGGGCAGTTCGAATCATCGTGATTTAGTGGGAAACCATCTGCTAACTGCCATGTCTGATGATCAATGGTTGTGACAGGAGGTTTCTGGTTAATAAGTTCTACAAGATTAGTGTTGCAAAACCAGACAGCTGGGACAGCCAGGCCTGAAGGTCACTGGGCCCCCAGGTGAATGTACTCCTGCTGGCCCCATCTCCCAACCACTGAGCAGTTGCCGTGATTCCTCAAGTAGCTTCCACAGGCCTTTGCATCTGGGGTCTGCCCTGAGGGGTTACCGCAGGTGGACAGGCCATAGCAAACAGAAGAAGAATGAGTTGGGGAAAATCTTCCAGAAGTGAAAAGTCATTCTGTGAGAATAACAGAGGTCTCTTCACTTCCAATGATGTCAAATGCTATTGCCTGAACGTGACAAGCTATCTGGAATGGAACCACAGTCAAAGCAGATCATTCTTAGGAAGAGTCCTGTTAATTCTGCCTCTGACACATGTCAGGAAGCCTAACTCGCTGCCTCTTCCTGGAAGCCTCCTCCAGGGAGTCCCCAGGTTCCCATGGACAGCTACAGGGCTCTGGTTACCATCTGTCTATCTCTACTGCTCATCACAGAGCCTCTCTGTTCCCACTCCACTTCCCTTGGCTAACCCTACCCTTAGTTTCCCTAGAGCAGCAAACTTGCCTTACTCTGTCATGTGCTGGATCCTTCTCCTAGATGCTCTCTAGATACCAGAAGGAGTACACACCCTTGGACAGGAGCTAGGCTCCAAGAGGGATGCATCCTGGAGAGACAGAGGATCACCTCCAGCCAGGCAGAGTGATGGGTGGTGAAGCTGCAGGACTGGAGAGGCCCTCCCACCTGTCCCCTCCACTCGTCCTCCTCCATACCTGCCCCTCCTGCCCCCAGTTCTAGGACCCTCTGGATCTCAGAGGACTATCAGTGACTTCTAAACATCGAGAAAGATGCTCAGTCCCAGTGGACTGGAGCAAACCCTTGGAAGGTCTCTTTGGTGGGTGTGGTAGGTGCTTTCCACAGAGGCCCCAGTGAACTGGTATGGGATTTAATTGAGGAGAGGAGTATTGAATACACCATGGACTGCTAGGAGAAAAACCAGGTTCATCCTGGAGAGAATGAAACCAAGCTGCTCCTTGGAGGCAAGAATTCTGAAGCTCTGTTTGGCATACTTTGGGCATGTTGTAAGGAGGGATCAGTCTTTGTGAGGGACAGTGCAAGAGAGGAAGACCCTCGATGAGATGGATTGATTCAGTGACTGGGGTAATAGGTGTAGGTGTGTCAGAGATGGTAAGATTGGCTCAGGATAGAGCAGGGTTCAGAGCTATTGTACATAGGGTCGCTATGAGTCACAGGTGACTGGATGGTACATAACAACAATAACAAGCTCAACCAGGGGAGGGGAATGTCATTTTCTGCTATCTGCCAGTGTCTAGAAAGAAGCATGGCACAAGCAGGAGCTCAGTGAGCTCTTGGTCAAGAGGACAAGCCTCCCTCCATCCAAGGCTCTGTGAGACCAATACTTGGTCCATGGTATAACCTTCATATGCAGACCCCCAGAAGGGAATACATGATCAAGGGAATACTTGATCAAGGGAACAGTCATAGGAAAGGTAGTTGCCATTCCCAGCCAGAGAGGCAGAAAGATTAAAGAGGTGATGATGTACAAGATCTTGGGGTGAGGAGTGAGGACAGGAGGCTCCTGAGGAGCTGCCCCTCCTTCCCCTGGGGTCTTCATCACCATCAGGACTCAGGGAATCAGGCGGACACTGATGATGGCCCAGGAGCTGGGAAGCGTTGAGAGGGCTGTTCCACACCTCCCTCAGTAAAGGGTTCTGAGCCTCTGGGGCAGCTCCAGGCCTGAACCATCACCCCCCTTCAAGCATTACACACCCCAACTTGTGGCAACACCTCCTGCTTTGGAGAAGGCAGGGGCAGTTGAACCGGTCAACTGAATTTCTTCCCAGTCGTCATGCTGAGGCCAGGCCTCAGAGTCTCCACTCCCAGCTGGCTCCAAGACTTGAATCTACACCATTAGCATACCCTCAACTTGGGCATCTGAGCTCAGGGGCTTTGAATGCTGACTTGAAATGGGAAAGAACTGCAGTGGTAGGTTGTTATTGTTGTTAGGTGCCATAGAGTCAGGGTCGACTCTAGTGATTCTGTGAGTAAACGACTTGAACCTTGTCTAATCCTGTGGCATCCTCGTCATCTCTGGAACACTTAATCCCATCACTGCAGTCACTGTCAAGCCATCTCATTGAAGGTCTTCTTCTGTTGACTTGCCACTTTCCCAAGCATGATGCTCCTCTCCAAAGAATAGCCTTTCCTAACAATATGCCCAAAATGTGTGAGCCAAAGTGGCACAATTCTTGCTGCCAAGAAGTGCTCTAGCTGCACTTTTTCCAAGACATATCTTTTTGTTCTTTTGGCAGTCCATGGGATGTTTAGCGCTCTTCTCCAACATCGCAATTCAAAGGCATCAATTCTTCTGACATCCTTCTTCATTGTCCAGCCAAAGATGCCTAGCAAGTGATTGAAAAGACCATGGCCTGAATCAGGTGTACCCAAGTCTTCAAACTAACATCATTGCTCCTCTGTAATTCAGAGGTCTCTGACAACAGACTTGCCCAATGCAACACATGTCCTGATCTCCTGACTGCTGGTAGGAAGAGTGTTGATTGTGGATTCAAGTAAGAGGAAATTGCTGATAATTTCAACCTTTTCTCCATCTGTCATGATGCTGCTTATCAGTCCAGTGGTGAAATTTTTGTCTTCTTAATATATATGTTGGTTGAATTAATTTTATTAATCTATCCAAAGTCACCATCAGAGTTAACGGTGGCCAGTGCCAAATCATCGGGAAATTCCCCTTAAGTTCATGAGCCGTCTTGGAAGACCTGGGGATGGGGCGGGGGAGGGTGGTGGTTTGTGATGGGAGATCAGACAACTGTCTTGTCATATAAGGGGAATAGAAGTGGGTGTCAGGAAAGGCCTCCTAGACAAGCTAGAGCGAGGCCAGGGACTGGGTGGGGGTGATGATAACGGTCACAGGTGTGGTAGCCTGAGTGAGGGGCACGGACAGGTGAAGATCAGGAGGGAGCACTGTGATTCCCCTCCGCAAATACCTGTACCTCTTCCCATAGGCTTTTGCCAGTGGGGAGGAGGGCCAAGCACCAGATTTTGTTTCTCTTCTCTCAAATATGCGGCAGAGGAGCAATGTTCTGTAGGGTAGACAGATAACCACAGAGGCCTCCATGCCCACAGAGGAGAAGAGACACAGACAGGGTCCCAACATAGATGCTCCTCCACAGCCGCTCACTCTCTGATGCCCTGGGGCCCTGTCTCCCATATATTGGGCTGAGCTCTGCCCTGTTGGAAAGCCGGGGTAGTCCTGGGCACCGGGGAAGCATAAGGAATGACAGGATAAGCAAGAGACCACTCCAGCCACATGTAGCAAGACTCCATGGTCCCAGATCCACACACTGGGCCTGAGACACCCTTTGCCCAGCTTGGCTGTTGATCCACTTTGGTCAGGCTGGCTGTGTGCAGACACGGAGGGGACAGACTTAGAGGGTGACTTCTAGTTCCTGCTGTCTGTCGGTGTCTAGAAAGAGGCCTGGCACAGGTAGGTGTTCTGTGAGCGGTGCAGAGAACAAACCCAACCCTCAGTTTAAGGCTCTGAGAAGCCGTAACCCTAACCCTAACCCTAACCCTAATAACCCTATATCCACTGGCCCTTCACGTGCAGACCCAGTGAGGGGAGTACCTCATGAGCACAACTGATGAGGCCTCCCCAAGCCTACTTACCTGGACCCTGGCCTCTGTTCTAGAGGCAGCCAGAGTGGGTGTTGAGTGGGCACAGCGGAAGGCAGCACCCTAGGAAGAAGAGGGCCCCAGCTGTCACTTGGGGACTGCTGGCTCTCTGCACATCCTGGAGCTCCCAGCTCTGCCCTATGCACACTAGGAAGGGCTTGGGGTTCCCCTGCACCCACTTCATGGTCAGGCATAACTTCCCAGATCAGGCAGAGTCGGTGGCACTGAATCCCCTTGTGCTAACATCCCCTTGTCCAGCCCTCCCACCAAGTCTGTTGGAGGCACCATGACTATTTTCTGCATTTCCTGAATGAGGAAGCAGGCCAGCAGGTGAAGGATAGGTGTGAATGGCAAAAACACTGCTGACCCTGTCTCTGTGGGGCTCCAGGCCCAGCCGGCCTCGAGTGTCCCTGACCTCTGGAACTGTTTGCTTTTCCTTGTCTGTGTGACTAGATAGAGATACCTTCTCTCACCTCTGACCCCCTACATCCAGCAGTGTATGAGTGTGACCACCTAGCAGAAGTGTTGGGACAGAGTAAGAAACTAGCCCCTGTGTGGGGGACATGGGATTGGGGGGACTAAAGAGAGGTCACTGCTGACACCTGCACCCCTCTTTGCCCACCACAGGACCTGGCTCAATCCTTGTCGATGGAGTAAGGGTGCCCTGGGCAAGAGCAGGGTGATGGGTGGGTTGTAGGGGCATTCTGTGGGCCCTGGGCTCAGATCCTAGCTTTGCCATGTATGAAATGACTCCTTCCTTTCCTTCCTCAAGGGGCTCCAGGGAAGGTGAAATTCAGTGAGACGGAAAAGGCTTTTCATCATATCATCTGTCATGAGTAGGAGTGATGTTGTGCCCACTCTGGGGTGCCCTCACCCTGGAGAGCGTCCTTCTCAATGATACACGCCATCAGGTGGGGCTAGGGCACTGGAGGTCGCGTCTAGAGCCTACCAGGGCCATGCAGGCGGCTCCCCCTCACCCCACCCCAGCTCTGATCCTTCTCTCCCTGGTTGCCCAGAGTCCAGGTTAGAAGTGGAGAGGAAACAGGCCGCCTGTGCTGCCTGATGTCAGGCGGGTACTCACCGGAGCTCAGGGAGCGGTGCAGAAGTAGGAGCGTGGCGCCCAGACACGCGGCCGCCAGCAGGCGCCGCCACCAGCAGCGCCTCCCCATGCTGCGCCCAGCCGCCAAGGGCGCGCGCTCGGGACCGCCCCCGACGGGCCAGCCCCACCTGCGGCGCCTACCGAACTCAGCGGGGGCAGGGCCTGGAGCTGGGGCCGCTAGGGACTTGGCCAGTGAGCGCCTGACGATCGGATCGATCGAGTGGGCCTTTTCCCCTCTGGTACCCCCCAACGCCGCGTCAAGTGGGGCAGCTGTTCAAGGCACAAAGGGTGGAGACTGTGTGCGAGGGCCCGGAGCCTTGGATAAGCAGTGGGAGAGGGGGTGCGGAGGGAGCCTTGCGGTCTGTACCCTGCAATTTGTCCGGAGTAAACCCCACAGCCACGAAGCCTGGTGGGAGTGGGTACTTGGAGGAGGGAATCTTTGATGGCACAGTCTCCTCCCAGCTGGGAAGAGTTTCTACTTGCTTTTTGATACTTACATGCCAGAGGCCCAGGAACTTGTCTGAAATAGTCAAGGAAGCTGGCGCTGGCTCCTCTTGGCCTCCACTCCCAATATCCAGCTTTAGAATTGTCCCTGCAGTGCTTGCTTCCTGCCTGGATCCTGACCCCTCCAATGAAAAGAAGTGGGGTCCCAGTGGACACTTCTCTAGCCCTCAAGTCTATTATACTTTACACTATTCCCTGAAAATGCCCGAGGCACGAGGGAATAGCAAGACTCCTTGCAGACATTTAGAGGAATGTTGAGGGTGGAGGAACAGTATACTTGGTCCTCTGAAAGATAAACGCATCCAGTATCCCTGTGGGCACAAGGAAACACGCCCAACAACTATAGATCTGTCACTCAGGAGCCAGGCAACCCCAGTGTTCAAAGGGTTGTGTATTTCACACCGGATCTTTCCAGATATGCGAACTTTGTGAGTAAACCAGTATAGAATATAGATTTTATTTAAAAATAAAGAAGTGCAGTGTATGTGTGTGCATATGTGTGTGTGCACGTGAACATGCGTGCACCTGTGTGATGTGTGTGAGTATGCATACCTGTGTGTGCCTGTGCATACAATTCATTTGAAGCAACATTTAGCAATGTGAGTGTGTAGGATGCGACGCGGCATTAAACATCCGTTTTCTACTTAAATGTGGGGTTAATCCACATCCTTCCAGTGCCACTCACCAACTGCATTCAATCCTTTTGTATGATGAGGGTATACTGGTCCTCCCCCCCAAACCCCCCCACCCGTGTTGAGAGGATACTTAATTAGGTGTATAAGTGCCTGGCAGTGAGCCAGTGAACTCCTTGATATTATAGATTTTTTAAAAACTAGTATAGCCTATTTGTGATGCTGATTTATCATATATTGATGCTTTAAACATTTCTTTGTGTTACACACTTTATGTTGGCCTGGTGGTCAGCCAGAAGCTGCTGCAATTTGAAGGACACTGGGTTCAAATCCACCAGCTGCTCTGCGGAAGAATGATGAGCAGTCTCCTCCTGTGCTATTTACTGCCTCTAAAAACCGGCTGGAGGGTCAGCTATGAGTAGTTCCAACTGGATGTCACAAAAGAGGAGGTGATTTTAGGGATGGATACTTAGCAAATAATGTTTCCACCAATCTAAAGATCATCAAATGGTAAATAGTTGAGTGGGAAGCCCAGTGAAACAAGAACCTCCTTATCACAACTTTGAGTCAGAGTTAAGCATTCAGTTAAAAAAAAACAAACAACACCCTCCTATCCCAAGATTCTACTGAAGATTATCCCAAAACGACTGGAAAAGCACATCAGCAGAGAACTGCTGGAAGTCCAGGCTGGGTTTAGAAGGGGTCATGGTACTAGGGATATTGTAGCTGATGTTAGATAGATCTTAGTTGAAAGCAGGGAATACCAGAAGAATGTCTCTCTGTGTTTCTTGATTATGCAAAGACTGTGTGGATCATAACAAACTGTGGCTGAGTCTGAGAAGAATGGGAATCCCAGAACATTTAATCGTGCTAATGCGAAACCTATACTTGGACCAAGAGGCAGTCGTTAGAACAGAGCAAGGTAACACTGCATGGTTCAGAATTGGGAAGGGTGTACGCCAGGGAAGTGTCCTATCTCCATACCTTTTCAACCTGTGTGCAGAGCAGATTATTCGAGAGGCCAGGCTCTATGAGGAGAAGTGTGGCGTCAGGATTGGTGGAAGATCTATTAACAATCTGCATTATGCAGATGACACAACCCTGCTTGCCAAAACTGAGGAAGACCTCATGCACTTGCTGCAGAGGGTCAAGGACTGCAGCCTTCAGTATGGACTGAGGCTCAATGTCAAGAAGACAAAGATTCTCACCACTGGACCAATTGGTAGCATCAGGATGGATGGTGAAGAGATTGAGATTGTCCACAGCTTCAGTTTGTTTGGCTCCACGGTCAACACTCTTGGCACCAGTAGCCAGGAAATAAAAAAATGTATTGCGATGGGAAAGTCTGCTGTTAGGGACCTCTCCAAAGTACTCAAGAGCAACGGCATCTCTCTGGAGACTAAGGTGTGCCTGATACAGGCCATGGTCTTTGCAATCACTTGTTATGCACCAGAGAGTTGGACAATGACTAGGGAAGATAGAAGGAGAATTGATGCCTTTGAGCTGTGGTGCTAGAGAAAAGTATTGAATGTACCCTGGACTGCCAAGAAAACAAACAGATTCATCCTGGAGAGGGTTAAACCAGGCTACTCCTTGGAGGCAAGGATTCTGGGGCTTCGTCTGACATACTTTGGACATGTTGTAAGGAGAGACAGGCCCTTGGAGAGGGACATCATGATTGGTAAGGTGGAGGGACAGCACAGGAGGGGAAGACCTTCTATGAGGTGGATTGATTCAGTGACTGGGGTAATCGAGATGGGTGTGTCAGAGGCCATGCGATTGGCACAGGATAGAGCAGGGTTTAGGGCTGTTGTATGAGTCGCAAAGGACTCGACGGCACATAACAACAACAATATCCCAAGACCACTCCCATCAGTTTCAAATCTCATCTAAATTCGCTTTCTCTGCACTGAGTTCCAGCTTCTGTGCTGCCACTTAGTGGCCGCAGTCGAAAATAACATCTCAGCCTGTGGCAGTAGGGCAGAGTCAGAGGCCTGGACTCTGGAAGCTGCTGGGGAAAGTGGGAGGGTGCAATGCCTGCCAGAGGTCTGGGGACTTTTCCTCCCCTGCAGAGATGGCCTTTTCTTTCATGACCTCTTTTAGGAGCGTGCGTTCCTTTGTCCAACTACTCTGTTTACATCATCCATATTTTTAAAATGGTAAAATATAATTCACAGTAAAATCCATCCTAAGATAGAGATAAACAATAGGTTAGGAATGGCTAATCATTCTAATTATGTACCCTACATATGTTGTCTCCTATTTCACCTCACATAACTTGGCAGGTTGTCAGGAGGCACTGTTGTTGATTGCCTTTGAGTTGTGCACGACTCATAGCAACTCTATAAACAAAAAACCTGAGGCCTTTCTATAACTATTGTTTCTCCAAGTTCATAGTTTCCAGAGGTATGTGGTTTAGGAAGTGGATGCCACTCCTGCTTCCAAACCTGTCTTAAACTGAGAGCTCCACCAAACACTGTCCACCCAGTGGCACAAGGTTCAGCGTCACAGCAAACCCAGATTACCTCAGCACAGCAAAGTGACAGATGAGTGCTATATGACTTAGAGGAATGTTCCTCCAAAATATAATAACAAGGGATTAAAATATAGTTCCTTGGGCCCAGTTTTTAGATTCCAGGGCCCACCAGGAGGTCTTGTTGACTCTAAAACACGAGGCTTAAATTAAAAACAACCAATCATTCCACACTGACCCTCAACCAAAACAAGAAATCCCATCTTACAGCGTCCAGACGCTTCACCCAGTCTCAAAAATGGAGACAAAGAGTTGGCCTTAAATGCAAGTGTCCTCCAGGAGGTCTTGTTGACTCTAAATAAGAAGCTTAAATAAAACAACCAAACAATCCATACAGGTCCTCAATGAGAAGCATTAGTCCTTGCCACAAACAAATCATGCTGGGAAAAGTAGCGTCACTGAAAGAGAGGAAGACCCTTAGTGAGAGAGATTGACATAGTGCAACATTGGGTTTGAAGATGGTGGAGATTGTGAGGTTCACACAAGATAGAGCAAGGTTCTGGTCTATAATCCACAGGGTCACTATGAGTTATGTCAATTCGATGGTACAATGATCTGTAACTAGTAGTAACACCTCTATGGTGAGGCTCCCATGTGATTAACAGAAGAGAAGCAGATTCTAGGGAGGAAATAGGTAGAACGTGCAATGTGAGAAGCATGAATGTAGGAAAACTGGACATGGTTAAGAAAGAAATAGAATGCATAAATATTGACGTACTGGGTATTGACAAAATGAGATGGACTGGCGTGGGACATTTTGAGTCAGAGGATCATATGATCTACTATGTCTGAGATGAAAAGGTGAGGAAAAATGAGGTTTCTTTCATAGTTAAAAAAGGTCCTTTCTAGATCCTTCTTGAAATACAGTTTTGCAAGTGATAAGATAATATCCATATTTGTACAAGGAAGTCCAGTGAATACCACTATATACCACATATAGCACCAACAACTAGAGCAAAAGAGAGGGAATAGAAGATTTCTACCAACATTTGCAGTCAGAAATCAATTGAGGGGAGCTCTGGTGGCCTAGTGGCAAGGAACTGCAACTACAATCCCAGAGGCGCACAGTTCGAACCCACCAGATGCTCTGCCGGGGAAGGAGGGACAGTCTCCTCCTGTACCTATCAGATCTGATTTGACGGTACATGCACACAAAAAAATAATAAAAAAATATTTAAAAAAAGAAATCAATTGATCATTCAATCAAGATGCATTCATAATAATGGTGGCTGGAATGCAAATGTTGGAAACAGGGAAGAAAAATCAATAGTTGGAAAACATGGACTTGGTGACAGAAATGAGGCTGGAGACAGAATCGTTGAATTCTCTACAAACAATCAATGACCTAATCACTTCAAATACATTTTATAAGAAACGTAAATGCAGACTATACACATAAAT